AGTATATTTTAAATATATTTTAATTATAAAATAATAATATTTTAAGTAGATTATCACAAATATAATTAAGTATATTTAAATATATTTTAAATATATTTTAATAATATTTCAATAATATTTTAATTATATTTTAAATATTTTTTAAATATACATATTTCTTATAGGACTAAAGGTTTTACAATTTCTAATATTATTTTTCAAGCTGATGCTAACAAGAAAGATTTTATTCAAGGATGTACTTCATAATTTTGTCCATTTCTTTGTTTTATAAGGTGTTCTATAATGAAACTAATAATACTTTACTTACTTTTCTAGCTGTTTTACCTTTTTTTTAATATTATATAATATATTACCCTATTAACTGAACATGTCTTTTTCACTTATGGATGTATTTTATATATATATATATATATTTGATAATTCATTTATTAAATATACTTTTAAACTATTTTCCTTAGTACTTTCTAAATCAAAATGTGTATAAATTTCTTATTGATTATAACACAAATATCTTGTACATTAGAGACTCTTCTTTGAAAGATTTTCTTCTATTGTTACTTTATAAATCCTATATGAAAGTTTACTTCATTTTTCTATAAAATATAAGTTTATAGTATAAAACTTACCTAATACAATTGGCCATAATACTTCTTTCTTCAACATTTCATATATATATATCAAATTTATATCATATTGTTCAACTTTTCCATTAAATCTTTTGCAAATATTAAATTACCTTTTATTGCTAAATTTAGTCATGCATTCTCTTGTTCAGTTATTTTTTTACTTTTTAATGGTGTTGAAGTTATTTCTTTGAAAAGTTTTATACTGATCAATGTATAATTTCCTGATTTATGCATATCAATTCTACCTTAAGTTTTTTTTTGAAATAGCTTCAAACTCATCAATAATTCTTGTATATGTATGTATAGTTATTTCTCTATTATTTACTTTAATGAAATAATATCTATTATATAATACATAAAAGTCATCTTTGACTCCATACCAATTTTTTTTTTCATTATAAAATTTTATACTATTTGTTATATTTTTATAATTAATATAGCTTTATTTCATTTTGTATTAGATTTTATCTTGGGATCTAGTGCTGGTGCTTTTTTCTATCTACTTGACTTGAGCATTGGTGAGTTTTTATCAAATGATATGAGATCATCTTCTGAAATTTATAGATTTTTTGATAATATTGGAATCAGGTTTTTAGTAGAATTTTAAATAGTTGAACTTTGTAATATTTGTAAAGCTAGTTGACATTACCCTTTACAAAAGTTTCCAGTTAAATTCATATGCTTATTTAAATCTCAGGTTTTGCTAGTTTTTATTTCTTGAGTATATCCTAAGCAATAGAGTTTCTTAGCCATAATAATATATACACTTGTAATCTGTATATTTTATACTTTGATATATTTTATTATTATAACTAGATCTTTTTTTTTAATTTTAAATATTTATTCATTTATATAAATTTATTAAAATGCATGGTGAATATACTTGTAAATAGATAAGGTATATAATACATCAAGGATATCAAAAATTTTAAACTTTTTTAAATAAAAAGATATTCTAGAATATATTAAAAGTTCGAATCTAAAGTTTTACTGAAAAATACACGTAATCAGTCTTAAAAATCTAAAAATTATTTATCAAGTATAGATACAATAACAGAAATCTAATTGTTAGTTAAATAGAAAACTAAAACTCCATTTCACTTTGCAACTGTTTCACATTTATCTAAAGATATATACTTATAGTAACAAAAATCTATTTGTTAGCTAAATAAATAACTAATTCTCAACAATAGCAAAAATCTTTTTGTTAACTAAATAGAAAAGGTATAAAATATATCAAAGGATAATGAAAATTAAAAAAAAAAAAATATTAGAAAACAAGATAAAAATCAAAATCAATTATATACTCAAAAAAAATATTGATTTTGTTCTAAAAAACCTATTTCCTATCTACTATGTTTCTACAAGGGAATTAGATTTTGTTACTTGTAGAATATTTGAAATTTGTACTAATGCAACATTGGTTGAAAGACTTTGGTCTTGTATGGAATTTTTACAAACAAATCAGTGAAATCAATTAATGATATTTATTATAAATTATTTTATTATTATTTTTTTAAAAATAAAATTATCAATTTTAAATAATATCATTAATAATAATTTAAATTTTATTTAATTATTAATTTATTTATTTGTTTATGTAATTTTTATTATTTATATTATAGTTATTAATAAATTTATTAATAATTTTTTAGTTATCACATACTTTTGAAATGAGTAAACTTAAAGTAGATATTACTTATTCACATTGATTAATTTCTGTAACATCTGCAATATCAGAAACTTTATTTGAAATTGTTGAAGACAGTAAAAATAATGAAATTAACAACCAATAAAATAATGAAGAAGATAATGAAGATAATAAAGATAATGTTATAGATAATGATGAAAATTTAATAGATGAAAATGATGAAGAATTTGAAAATGAAAGTATTAATCAATTAGATATTGAAAATAAGTTTGATGAATGTCTTCAAGGTTGAACAGATACGTTAAACAAAGAAAAAAAATGCAATTAAGGAAGATAATTATGAAGAAAATAATATGGTTGATAATATAATTTATTCTGCCATTGATACTAATGCAAAATGGAAATTAACAACTCTTTTTAAAAATAATCTAAAACTTTTCTTCTTGTTTTTATTATATAATTTATTGGTTTAAAAAAAAATAAAGATCTATTTTATTTCTATAATTTTTTATTTTATCTCTAATCTTACAAATATTTTTCCATTTTACTTATATAATCATGTGATCAAAATTGTCCGGGACATAAAATTTTGGGACATGTCCTGGGACTGTCCTGTCCCAAACGTCCCAAGTTCCAATCCCATGTCCCTTGACAACACTATGTTCCAGTCCCGTGTCCCTTGACAACACTGCCATAACCTATACTGCAGGGGTTTGTGGTTTTTCAAGGCTAGTGTATTTATAACCATGTGTCACACCTTCAAATATCAATTTTTATTAGATAAGTGACATATCATATGTCACATATTATTTGTCACCGAATTTTTATAACATGTGAAATAATTTCGATCACCTGAAATCATGTTAAATCATATATTTCATTTTTATTAGATAATAATCACTGGTAAAATTCGAACGATATGTAAAAATTATTATCTTGGACTGTTGGTTCGTTTATATTCTAAGAATAATTATAAAATGAGTCAAGAGCTAAAAAAGAAAGATATTTCTTTCTCACAATATAAAGAAATAAATATTTTATAATTAAATAAGTAGGTGTATCTCGGACTGTTAATTTTTTGTTTCTCAGAATAATTATAAAATAAAGAAAAAAGAGTCAAGAACTAAAAAAGAAAGATCTCTCTTTCTCTTCCCTCCTTACGAATTTTTATTTTTTTATTTTATTTTTTTTTATTTTATTTTTTATTTTTTTTCTCAAAAAGTCTAGATCAAGAAACTACTTATATGTATGTATATAATTTTTAGCAATAAATGACCTATAATCAAAGTAATTTAATTGGATAAGGTTACTTAGTAACAAGTTATTTCTAAAGTTACACAGAAATCTATCAAAGAAACAAATGTCGGGCAAAGAAAATCATATGCATTTAAACTGTATACTTTGAGTCTTCATATGAATTATATATAAATCTTGTGACCTTGGGTCAGAAAAATTGTTAAAGACAGGATATGCTTATACACATATGTTTATAGACAGGTTCTACTGTACTTTTTCGTTCCTTTTTTTAATTAAATTTTTATATAAATTTATATTAAAAATTTATACATGATTGGTAATTAAGACTTTAGAACTTACAATAAAAACTTTCAACATAAATATAATCAATATATTTTTAGATTTAAAAAATGAATATTCTCAGCTTTAATGTTAAGATATTAGAAGCGTTACTATATATGTGTATAATTAACTTTATATCATACAATAATATATAATTATATGTAATATAAAATATTAGAAGTGTTAAAGCTAATAAACTACTGTGATTATTCTAAGACTATATATGTATCATTAACTTTATAAAGTTTTAATTGAATAATGATATATTAAAATTAATTATAAAAGACAATTTGAATAGGATTTAAAAAGTTTAGTTTAATTCACATTTTATCTTCAAAAGCCCAAATGATATAAAAAAGGATTAAACTAAATTTTTTTAAAAAAATAATGTAACAAACTGATAAAATAATCTGGTTTAAAATTTCATGTTACCCCTCAATAAATGATTATAATCTTTCCGATGAAATTAAATTATCTTTATGTGTTCGAACGGAAATATGCTTGGTTTAGTGGGTATTATTTAAAAAACGCTTGGATAATTTATTAGCAATAAAGTTATATCGGAGTACAGTACAATCGTAAATAGCAATAACATATAAAAATATTATATTTTATTAACTTGAATTATTATATTAAATAATATATAACAATAATTAGTGAAAGAATAATGTTATATTATGAATAATAATTCATGAAATAATAAATCATAAATTGATTGAAGTAATTTTATTCTTCTAGTACATTAAGTAAATAGAAGAATATCCATGTGTTATAATGAAAATCGATTTTATTGAACTGGCGCAGTTAAATTAATTCTTGGAATTTAAGTATTTCAATCTGCACTTTAAACGAAACTGCGTGTTGTATAACGTTTTTGCATGGACAGAAATCAATATAATTACATTTGGCACGTTATTAATTACGACTGATTACATACATTATGATTATCTAAATTTTTTTGAAAATAATTGTTGCATTTTTTATTTTATTTTTTTATTGATTTATTGTTCACCGTTTATGGAATTACCTTTTGTTCTCTTGGAAATATTTATCGCACACAATACAATAATTAATTAGCTAATACTTTCATTCAATAAATAAATTACTTAACTATTTTGATTATTTGATTAATTTATTTACTTTTTAAACGATAAAAAATAAATTAAAATGGATTAAAATGGATAAAAATGGTATTATTTCTTTGCTACCATTATTTGTTATCAACATCAGCATACATATCATGCATATTTTCCCTAAACTGTAAAGGTGTCATATACAATATATAAATATAATTGAAATCGCCTACCTACCCTATAAGAAATATGCATATTTAAAAAATACTTAAAATATAATTAAAATATTATTGAAATATTATTAAAATATATTTTAAGTATATTTTAAATATCGTAGTTTTTATAGGGCTATAGATTTATATGCATATTCGCTTTTGGCTAATGCAAAGATCACTTTAATGATTAACTAAAAATATATTCTCATTTTGCCAACTTTCATTAACTGCGTAAAATTCCAAATTTTTTCATTATTTTAAAAAATTTTATAAGATTTAGTCCCGAATGTATCATTATTAACCCATCATGTTTATTCTGGTACGAAAAATACAACGAATCAAAATTCAAAAAGTCTTAATTTTATATTATTTTTTTTCCCGTACAAAATGAGATACTATATATCAATGGAATAAATTCTTGTTTCATTAAAAAACGTGTTTTTTTTATTTATACATAGATAGTAAATATATTTGTATTATATCAAAGCTTCTAATGTGGGTAATAATAAATATGAAGTTTAATTATTCTAATATTCTAATATACAAGAGTTTAGTACAAATTATGATGTTTTAAACAAAAGATTTATTTATTATAAATTTCAATTAATTTATTAAGGGTTTTACTGGTGTACAAAAAAAATGATCAACGAGTATAACTTTTCCAGAATTACACAAATTGATATGCAAATTAAAGCTACATGTGAAAAAAAATTTTCACTTAATAATTAAAATTATATTTTACCAAGCGTTATAATGGCCTCCTCTAAACAAGAAGCACATCACCAAACCATATTACATTTCTGGAAGCAAGGAATGCGCAATGCTACTAATACACACTCATTAACAAAGATTCCATTTAGAATTATCTACTGAAACTTCAAAAAATTAAAAGATACTGGAAATATAAAGTGTAGGAGTGGTAGTGGACGCATAAAAAAATAACACAGAAGCATCCCGGACAATTGAAAAATATGTTCGAAGACAATCCTCACTTTCTGCTAAGTCTCTTGCTAGTAAATTAGAAGATATTGGAGTAATTGTCTCCCGCTCAGCAATTTCAAGACACCTGACCGGTCTTGGATACCGAAATGCTCTTCCCCTTTGTACATCAATGCTCACACCTGCTCATAAACAAAACGCATTGTATGGGCTCAAAAACAAAAGATAATAATTAGAATAAGACACTATTTAGTGATGAAACAGCTTTTCAATTATTCCGTAATACAATCAAGCACTGGTACAAGAATTCAAGGCCAATTCGTCCTATACCAAAGGACTGAAGCAAAATACTCGCATGGGAAGGTTTTTGTACAAAGGTAAAGCAAGTCTTTATCGTTTTAGGTGTATAATGAATGGAAAATTTTATACAGAATCTTAGAAAAACATATTCCGGAGGTCCGCAGTATGTTGAAAGATAGATCCTAAGCATACTAGCCGTATTGCCAAGGAATTCCTTAATAATAATGTTGAAAAAAATGAGAAAAGCAATTTTTAATAAAATCTGCTGAGTTTCAGCTTCAAAATGATATATTAAATACATTTTAATTGATGCGAGATAATGTGATTTTAAAGATTGACATTTTTTTTGCACAACACTGTATATATAGTAAATTAAAATATAGTGAGTAGCCAAAATTTTATCAATTAAATCTAAACAATCATTATTCACATTACTCCCCTTCTAAACGCAAAGATCAATTACATGAATAAAAAAAAAATTAATAAATTTAATAAAAAATAAATAAATAAATAATAAAAATTAGAAAAAAGTTGGGATGTAACAATTAATTGTGTTGTGGCTGAAGATGGAAAACAGAAGATAAAGAGCCTTGTTTTTATAAAAGAAAAAAGTTTTGACCTAGTGACTTATTTGTTAATTACGCATTAAGAGTTTAGAGTTATGTGGAGAAAGGAAAACAAAAGAATAACTTCGTGCTATAGTAAAAATTACTGTATTCCATCTTTAGAAATCCTCTCCGTTGTAAGATATGTACAACATTATGTGTGTAAACGGGCAGCTCAAAAAAAAAAAACATTTCAAATTAATTTAATTTTTTAAACAAAGCTTTTTATTACGATTGCACAAGTTTCCCTCCTAATCAATTGAAGTAATTCAATTATATTCCTCTGTCTTTTTTTTTGTTGTCTTTAATCAAATATTTAAACAATGATCATAATAATAAATATGACAATAATAAAGAATTATTTCATTAGTTACAGATAATAATATAATGAAAATTGCTTTAGCAATACCCTAAAATAATTATACGTTTTATGAAATTCATATTTTTTTAATTACGAAAGATTCGTTATAAAAAAAGGGACACCTGATGCATAGTGTTGTTTTTTGTGAGCACAGAACTGTTCCATAATCTCGGACAAGGACACGTAAAAATTATTTGGATTATTTATAAATATTTATTTGGGAAATTGTAAATATTTGGATAAATTTGGATAAAATTTTTATCAAGAATTTTTTGTATCAAGGTAAATTTTTATTACGGTAGAGGATTAGCGAGAAATAGAGGAAAGAGAAAGAGAAGGAAATTCTTTTCCCTCGGAATAAAGTTTGTTTAAATATTATTTTTTTTCGAGGATAAAAAAATAAGAATAAGTAATGACATAATTTAAAAAGAAAAATAGTAACAAATTTCAATTTATTTCTTTTTGAAATAGTTTAATGTGATCATCTTTTGTTCAATCTTTAAAGAAATAGATATGTTTTTTAGAACAATAAAACTGAATGGAAAATTAGATTTCAAATAAACATTTAGAAATCACAATGATCAATGTTAAGGTTAACTGGATTAACTGTCATGTAAATAAAATATGTGTATATCGATCAAAGTATTTGTTCTATGAGTGCACCCACCATAATAATTAATAGAAATATAGACACGTGATACGAAATACATTGTCCTAATTTAATTTCTATTACTTGTTTACAATAATCCCCGAAAAACGATATAAAATATATAAATGTAATAAATGAGACATGAAATGATTATCTAGATAAAAGATAAGGTATCAAAAGTTATATCACAAAAAATATGAAAGAGTAATAAACAAAAAAATGTAAAAATTAAGTTTTTAGAATTTTCTTCATATTTTTCAAAAACCGAATTTTCAATTTATAAAAATTGTAAATTAATTAATTTAAAATTAATAAATAATTATTTATAAATATTATATAACATTATACTTGTCATCCATAATATCAAAATCATCATCTGAGAATTGTTCTAAAGAAATAATAAATTAATATTATTAATATAATATAACAACTTTAATTATTATTATATTCTATTAAATACCTGATAATTCAAGATCGGAATTTTGATCTATAGAAATAATGTATAACGTAATGAATTTTTAATTTATTGATAAAAAAAATTATTGCAAATATTATTATTGTTAAATACCTAATGTTGAATTAATAATAGATATAGATTCTAACATAAAGTTTAATGATCTACTAAAATATCTGGACTCTGGATGTTCGTATCCTGGATTATTGACAAATGGCTTTTTTGATTTGATCATTTCAAGTCTTTTCTTTTCCGCATTTTGAAATTCTAACCAAATATTGTCTAGATAATGTTTTTTGATATTATCTTTTGAATGATCACAATA